CAGTTGGCTGGACATCCCCCCGGGATGTCCCTGCCGCCGGAGCTGCTGGCAGCCTAGCTGCTTCTCATGGATCCACGGCATCCGGCCAGCCTGGTGGGAGAGGGGACCGCTGCCGAGCCGTGGGGCAACACCATGGCGTGGACCTGCATGGTGGCTGCCGGCAGTAGCCGTGAGGAAGCTGTGCTTCCCTTCCCGGCTGCCCCAGCTGCCCCCCCCAGTGCCGAGCAGGGGGAGACAGGAGGAACTTAAAGCAGCTTCTCTGCAGTGAGCTTCCCAGTTTGACCACAGCGGGGTTGCCCGCTGCCACATCTCCATAGCACTCATCTTGCCCTGCGAGCACGGGGATGGGTGTTTGAGAACTCCTTCTTTGCCTTGCTCACAGCACAGCAGGGTACAGACAGTCCCTCTGCAACGCCTGGGGGACAGAGGAGGCTGTAGGAGTCCTCTTGTCCCGTGGCTTGGATGATAAACCAGCCTCTGGAACTGTGTATATTCAGCCCAGACTTGTGTTCAGGTGGCTCTGTAACTGGAGGACCTTCCCCTCGCAGGGTTTTGTTCCTGGTCCCCAGAACTGCTTTCTTCTACCACGGTGAGGAAGAGCTCAGCCTGTTTGCTGAGGACCACGGCGCCTTAGAAACGAGGCGGCAGGTCACGGCGCTCTAGATGCGCGGTACCGTGGGCAGGGAAACAGCTTTGCCGGGAGCCGTGTCTTTTGCCAGGGATGCCGTCTCACCAGAGACGGGGCTTCAGCCTGGAGAGGTGCTGTGGAGGGCGAGTACGGAGTGGAGGTCCTGAGAGCCCGGGCTTGTCTTGTGGGCACCGGGTATCGCTGCCTTTGGGACTGCTCGGACTGTAGCAGGGCTGTTTGCTCTTGCCCTGTTGCTGGACCTTTTACTCAAGAAATCTGGCTCGTGGCCCTGACCTCGCTGGCTTTCAGCCCAGCTCTCCTCTGGGCAGCTGCTCTGTCCTTGCTGGCAGTGTCCTGCCCAAGGAAAGCGGTGACCAGAGGCTTCTGGCTTCCCGAGGGTGGGAGTACCCAGGTAGGGAAGGAAAGGAGCAGCACAGCTTGATGGTACATCCGTGTCCCACCACCTCTTTTCTCCCCTCCGTGCTCTCCTCCCCCCTGGGTCCAGTTGGTGCGCAGGACCCAGAGCACGCAGCGGTTCCTTGTCCTGCTCCCGGGGCATTTGTGGTGGGGGAGCCCAGGGGGTGTTGGGGTGTGTAGATGTACCTCCCTCCCTCTCGAATAAATGTCCTAGAAAATAGTAACTAGGGGCTGCTCCCGCTCTTTGCCTGGCTCCGCTGCTGTCCCTGGGGGTCTCGGTCCCCCCTCCCACCCCCCTCCGGGAGCGATGCTGGGGAAGGCGTGAGGACTTTCTCCGCCTCTCAGCATCTCGAGTGGGCGAATGGGCTTCCCCCCCACCCCGCCCTCCCTCCATCCCC